CACATATATATATATATATATATATATATATATATATATATATATATATATATATATATATATATATATATATAATTGAAAAACAAAAATTTGGTAAAATGGAAAACTGTTAACTCAAAGATGAGGAAGAGAAAAAAATAAAGTAATTAGAGGAGACTGGATGCTGAGAAAGGCAGATTTGGTATAGCAGCATGAAAAGAAGGTGTGAGGAAAGAGAATGTATCGGCTAGCAGAAGCTAACCGTTAGCATTAGCAACTCCACAACACAGCAGAACTCCTTCAGGTTTGTGTTATTTGTTCTGGAAATTAAACATCAACGCTGTTTTTTTACCCAAGAAAAAAGTATGAACGTAGGTAGTGGAAGAGTTGCATTGCTGTTATCCAATAAGAGGTGAGTAATGATGAGCAAGACTCTAAACCCTGCCATTTTCTGCCCTACCCTGCTTCAGCTAACTTCTACTTCCTAAAAGAGGAGTTCCAGATGTTTTTTCCTCAATGACTCACAAGGCCTTTATTCATTCTAGAGACCGCAGAAAACATATTGAAGAAAAATTAGGATGAATGAGAGCTTCAAGTAACTAGACTGAATGGAACCAAATGACATAGCTTGGTTAAATATATTCAACTTTTTATTTGTTGGAGCATGGATCTGGCTTTGTTAAAAATATTATCACCGCTTTCTGCAAACTCTTCAAACATCTGAGACAAAACATTTGCAGAAAATCTTGTGATGAGGATCTTATGGAGCATATGGTTTGAGAGCACACTATTTTTGCAGCTCCCTGTACAGAAAAAAAAGTGTAATTGCATGAAAACTTTTCCGTCTGTCGCTGCTGCTGGTGCTGGGATAACAACAAGCCACTGAAGTGGCTCTTCGTCTGAAGACTTCAACTAAAAATGAAGACCACAGACCCGATTTATCCTGTTGAAGCCTACAAGTGGTCGGCCATGCTGCGCATTTGTCAGCTCACGTTGAAACTTTGTAGCTGTTTCCCCAGCAATAACGAAAGCTGTCTTCCCCCAGCGTTTTAGAAAAGCCAAATGAAAAATGCATGTGGCCAGGGGTTGCACTGGCAAAGCGGGGAGCCAAGGAAATGAAATCTGCATAAAATCATGAGGGAGATTGATTAAATGACACTGATTAAGTGCTTTAAGTATGAGGTAGATAAAGCAATTGATTATTCAATGAATCCCCGTCAGGGAGTGACAAACCTCGGAGAGAGAAAAGAGACAACAAATGATGAATTAGTTTTATCAGACCCACGGATGAAAGAGACCGCACGCAACACTGTGATTATTGGAAGCTTCATGTGTTATTATTTAAACATGAATACATTTCCATATGAGCATCATTCTAAATTAGGTAATCCCCGTCTGGAGACCAAAGGGATGTATGTAGGACACCCGGAAAATGGAGAGAGATTGCCGCTCAAAGGTTCCTAAATAAAATCAAATAAATGCTATTTAAGTGGAATAAAAATACTGCTTTACATTAATGAGTTTTATTTTTGATCAAAATTGTCCCAAGGGGGAAAAAAATGTTGGTAACACTTTACAATAAGGGTCCCTTTATTAATGTTATTTAGTGTATTATTAAGCATTAATAAACAATGATCCCTTTATTATCGTTAGTGCATTATGAGGGGCGACAGTGGCACAGGAGTTAAGTGTTCACCCTGTATTTGGAAGGGTTGCAGGTTCGAGCCCCGCTCAGTTTGTCGCTGTCATTGTGTCCTTGGGCAAGACACTTACTTAACCCACCTTACCTGCAGGTGGTGGTCGGGGGGACTGATGGCGCCAGGGCTCGGCAGCCTCACCTCTGTCAGTGCGCCCCAGGGCAGCAGTTGCTACATCATAGCTCAAACTCACCAGTGTGTGAATGACTGATTGCGCTATAAAGTGCCTTGGGGGGTTCTAGGGCTCTAGAAGGCACTATATCAAATACAGGCCATTTTTTATTAAGCAGTAATAAACAAAGGATCCCTTTATTAACATTACTTAGTGCATTATTAAGCATTAATAAATAAAAGGGCCCTTTATTAACATTACTTGGTAAATTATTAAGTGGTAATAAATAAAAGGTCCCTTTATTAATGTTACTTGGTATATTATTAAGCATTAATACACAAAGGGTCCATTTATTAACATTACTTAATGCATTGTTAAGCGTTAATAAATAAAGGGTCCCTTTATTAACCCTTTGATGCATAATGGTCACTACAGTGGACAGGTACTCAAAATTGTTATTTATTTGTTTTTGCTATTAAGCACAGCTGTTGAAGACTTTATTGCATTTGAGCCCCTCCATTTGAGCTTCAGCAAGTCAAGCCAACATATTTCATGCTCAGAATGCACGCTGTCCACTGAGGTGGATATGTAATAAATTATTTGTAAATTATAAAATTTTACAAAAAATATTTGTTGAAATTTGTTTCATTCACACCTAAAGACGAATGAAAAAAATTGTTAAAAAAATCATGGTTGAAGATTTCATAATTCATGCATCAAAGGGTTAACATTATTTGGTAAATTATTAAGCATTAATAAAAATGCATCCCCTTTGTTACTGTTCCTATTATTGTTAACTATTAAGTGTGCTTAAAGTTAGGACAAAGGGCCAGGTTGGTGTCTGCTTTGTAATGTACGCTATGGTTAAGCTGTTATTAATGCTTAATAACACACTAAGCAATGTTAATAAAGGGACTCTTATTGTTAGGTGTTACTGAATTTTTTTTCTTTATCCCTGAAAACATTACAGCCTCAACCTAAACGGTTCCTAAATAAGATGAGAGGTGGACAAAAAAGTTGTCAAGAAGAAGAAAAAGGCAAGAACGAGGGAGACTGAAGAGGAACACAGCAGGACGGAGGACAAATGCAGCGGAAGCGGTCTCTTTTTTCATTCCCTCCAACAGGCAGGGGCTGCTGAATGAGACGGAGCAACCATCTGTCCTCAACTTAGAGCAAAGCACTGCAGAAGCACTAAGACCAATGGCAACAACTCCACCTTGGATGCCCACCATTACCCAGATGGTGTTCTTGGAGAAGTGCAGGCCACATAACAGAAAGCAGACAAGGAGCTCCAAGCTCAAACACCCATGAGTTTCCCTGCTACACCTCGGTTGGTAACCAGGCCTGAAGAGCAACATTAGCCACCACTGCACTAAAGGAGACCCCTCTGTTGGTGCTCTATGTGACAAAAGTGAACCCACATAAAGTATCAAACTGAAAAAAAAAGATAGAAAAATAACTCTATAGGCGATGGTTTTACACCGTTCCAGTGAACCGAATCAGTTCTACGGCAATGAACTCTACACTAAATATAAAAAAACTATCATATAAATGCTATTTTTACCGATCATTTCTCTATTTTTATTTTGTTTAGTGATAGATGCGCACGCACTGAGTATCTATGCCGTTTTGTTGTTTAGGTGAATCCAGCAACCTTCTCTTGCATGTTTCACCTCTCAGCTTGTCAAATACAATCTCAGGAGCACACACACACACACACACACACACACACACACACACACACACACACTGGCTCCTGCAACACAAGCAATGATAGATTCTATAAAAAGCAGTAGCGCGACAGTAGCACATTCAGGGCATGTTTGTCTCCACACTTTGACATTTTTAAAAAAAGACAAAGCCTGTCAAATCTATTTCAGGTCTTTATTTGAGCACCTGCCACATGAAAAACTAATTCTAAGAAGAAGTAACGACCTTTTGACTCAACGACTTTCCTTTAGAGCTGTAATAAGAGGATTTTAGAGTTTGTGCGTTTTTTAAAAGAATTGGGTAATCTTCACACAGCTGCAGGAAATGACAACTGCTCAGGTTTGTGCAGAGCTGCAAACATCTCACACTTTGTGCTCATGCTGGTTTGAATATAACATGTTTAGCTTTCTCCTGGGATCATTGCACTGCAAAATTTAACTCAATTTATTAAAGTATAACAACTTCAATTAAATGGGGGGTGCAGCTTTCAGGGACCACCCAGAAGGGGAGCTTGTCAAGAATTATGATTTACGATATCAGACGTGTCATCCAGAGGTGGCGCCTTAAAAAGGGCAATTTACAGCTCTTGGAATACAAGAAATGGAATATGCCATTTGGAATCATTCATCCACTTTCATCCATTCGGAAGACAAAAAGGCTGGTGCCATTAAGGATGCCCTGGACTCTGGCTGCTGTAGTGGAATTTTAATGTGGGCCAGTGCCATTCAGAGTAATTGTCCTAAATGGCAGTCTGCCAAATGTCAAAAAGCATTCGCCTTGTGACAAAACCTATTGATCTTCATTCTGTCTGCCTCTCCGCTGTGCAGAATCTTTCATCACATGAGCAGCTTCTGAAAGACAATTCTCACGTTGTTCCTCAGTGACTGATTAGACTAAACCAGACAAAGCCAGCCTTGAAAATGTTTTATTTTCTCTATGGTGTGGCAAAAATTAAAGATTTATGGTAACTTTTACTGAGATTTGGATGATTTGCTGACATAGATCAGCCTGCTGCCTCTCTTTATATCAAACTTTTGGATGGAGATGGGTTTTAAATGGAGTTCTCAGATGAAGAGAATGTCCTCAAAAACGCACTTTCACGAGGCTGAGTGTGGCTGGTGACTCAACACGCTGGCCGTAGAAAATGGAACACACGAGGCTAAGTGCATGGAGGTCACACTAACCCACAACGCTTCCTGAGAAGAGAAGGCAGAGGCAATTTCCCGTTCAGTCATCGTATATGATGCAGTGTTTTTGGTCCGGATGCTTTAAGGCTTCCATGTCTGTTCTTATTTTAACGGAAGCAAATTAAATTGCCATCCGACATGATGTGATGAATGAAAGAGTTGTGCTGATTTTACGCTTAAAAACGGAAAAGGACGCGCGCGTAACGGGGAGCAACTTTCAAGGTTACAATCCAAACGTGGGTGAGTGTGCGTGTGCGTGTGTGTGTGTCTCTGTGTGTGTATGTGTGAGAGAGAGGCTAAATTTGAACAACTTACCTATTCGTATAACATGAGGCATCCCACAAGAGTACTGAATCCAAAAGAGACACGAAATCAGCGATGTCCAATATTCCCAAATCGCGCTCCGGGTAGACAGCCAAGTATTTCTCATGGTTGCAAAGTCGCGAGATCCACTTTTTAAAAATCCAAAGAATTGCTCATCAACACTAAATTCTGTGTGGGAAAGGGGAAATGCGACAACTCTGCGCTCATTGTTCTTGGTGCAACATTATCCCCGGGTTCCTTTCCCCCCCCAGTCTTTGGATGCTGAGGATGAACCCCCCTCCTTTGGTCCCTGACTGGCGGATGAGCGGAAAAACACCTGCAATCACCCCGCAGGAGTCTCCCTCTTACCCCCTCACAAGCGATGCTTTTTGTCTACAGGGAAGTAAGACAAGTACCGGGGCATCAGCCGAACCGAACTCTAGCGTCGCCGTGAAGGAGGAGAACTGCGCCTGCGGAAGTTTAGTTCTCCTCGAATGATTCTGTCCTCCGAAAGGGAGGCAAAAAAAGAAGAAATTGCAACACTTCGCCGACTCAGGATCGCTTCCTCCAGTTTAATCACTCTAGTCATCCGTTCCAGTTCTGATAACAGCTCAAAACGCAGTGGTGGAAACCCGCTCCGCTCCAGTTGCGCGCCGTTGTTACGCGAGGATGGTCGCAGAGGAGCGTCCGTCTGCTCCAAAAATGAATTTCTTTTACAAATCTTTTTTTAAATTATTATTACTTGCTTTAGTTTGTGCTGGATAGGAAGGCAGCGCTCATAGCCGTGTTTCTGCGTGCGTCTGACGATCCTCCTTCCACGGTGCCACTAGAGGCACGCGTCGTTACGCATAGTTGTCAACTGTGTCCAAGTAAGGAGGTGCGAGGGTTCTGAATTACCTCCCGGTTTGTAAACACTGTGATACCCAGGTTTCCCAGTATTTATTCATTAAAATATAATATGCATTAATTATTTCTTTCTTTTTACAACTTGATGCAATTTGCAAGACGTTTTATTGCCTCAAGTAAAAACACAAGAACCCCCCAAAGTGCCTCCACAGCTCTGAGTGAGATGGATTATTAGCTAGAGGGAAATAAGTGTCAGCTGGGAGGTTAGGCCACTGACAAAACGCTTCTTATCGCTCTTACTTGAGATATTCCGTTCGAGCCGATGAGAACATTATTCCCCGGTAGTGCATATCTAACTGTCCATTTTTCATTCCCTCACAGAGAGCAATCAGACAAAAGCAGCATGGCTACATCTTCAGTTAAAGCATCAGGGCTGCAGCAGAACGAGGCAAATACAATTACAAATATATAAATAAATAAATATTCAGATAATAATGACTGTTTTTTTCCACTTTGAATTTACAATCATTTGCAATATTTTGGGGGGAGAAAAAAAAGTACATGTTGTTGTGCCCAAACACTCTTGATGAGTCCGTGTTTCGGCTCATTGGTTTAATTTTTCTGTTTTGAATGGAGGAGAGGAATAAACTGTTCATCAGGGGCCACGCAGGCTCGAACAAGCCGGAGTGACTGCCACTGCATATTCATGTCTCCCAGAGCAGATTTATCGCCTCTTGGCACAATGTAAGGACCATCAACGTGAGTTATGTGGCCCTGCTCTCGCATTATGGAGATTCATTGACTTGCTGCTCTTTCAAATACAAAATGTACACAACCAGAGCAAACAAGGCATATGGGGTCTGTGGGTGCCCTCTATGGAGGGATGGTGGTCTGTGCTCTTCATCACTTGGGTTGAGAGGATCAGGAACAGAAGAGAGGTTCCCTTTTAATTAATGTTTTTAATTATTTCTGCTTTCTGCTGACATTATATACACTGTTATAATCATCCATTTATCTCATTTCCCCTGATATAAATATCTGCCATTATAAAACAATTTTTGCAGTGTACATACAAAAGTAGGGGAGTCACGAGGATTTTAAAAATAAACATTAGGCATCTCCCATATTGTCTTTTTTTATTTGGTGCTCTATGGACAAAGTTTTTGAAATTAATTATGACAAACAAACTTTATGGATGACAAAAATAAAGAAAAGGATCTTTATCGCAAGTAAAAATCACAAGGCGCTTCACAACAACAAAACAATTAAAGTATGAAAAAGATTTCCATTATTATTAAAAATGTTTAAAATGAGAACATAAAAATTGTGAATTTTTTTAATGTAAGGAAAGGGAGAGAGAAAATGAACAGGAAAGAGGGAAATTAGTCGATCCTGGGAAAGGCAGAACAAGAGCAGATCATGGAGAAGGTGGTGGTGAAGGTCATGCAAAAGCCAGCTTGAACAGGTGAGTTTTCAGCTGCTTTGTAAAGGAGACCACAGCAGCAGATGATCGATCACCTTTGGTCTTTAGCCTGGTGCTGCACAACCATACTAGATGAACAGGGGTGGTTCTAGACTAAAATTAGAGGGGGCCCGGGTGCTCTGTTAGAGGAACATTAGTAAAAATAAACACCACAAACACAACTTCAGGTATTTCAATTTTTAGTAATTATAACTATATAATTGCTAGATAATTGCTAGATATATTTTAAAACTTTAAAAAGTTATAACTAATTAGCAAACAATATTTTGATATTGGAGTTTTCTGTCTAACATCTCTTTTCAACTTCAAATGAATTCATTCACATGCTTTATTTCCACACCTTGTATTAAGTGAAATTATCACAAAAAATCTGTACTTAATAATGCTTTGGCTCCACCCTCATCAGGAGGCAACATGCGGGTCCAACCCCACTGTCAGGGTGGCACGGGCCCACCCTGGACTCCCCCTAGAGCCACTACTGCAGTTAAATGAAAAAGCTATTTTATTCATTTTAAAATGAATATAATGTAATATAAATAAAGCTGCTATTATTGCTTTCATAATCTGTGGTTTATGATGACTAGGTGTGGATTCAACATCACAATTTCAACAAAATAGAACATTATTACCTAATGACTAGGTTAAAATTAGACAGACAGCCATCTATCTATTTATGGACAACTTTTATGTCTAGTATTTCTGTTACATGGACCAGCAGCAGACCAGTAGTTTATAAATATAGCTGGATTGTGAGTTCATTTCAAAACAAAGGAAGGAGGAATGTAACTACTGTTTACCACCAGTGAGTGTGAGGTTGCTGTGTCTCCTGCGAGCTAATACTGCAGCGCCAACAATTGTTATTTGATGATGGCTGGCAAAAGCTCCATGTTGTTTAAAGTGGTTGCATCAAGCCCCCACAATGCGGGTGAAAAATTGAAGCCAACGCGGAAATGAAATAAATTGCAGTTCCACCCTCATCCGCTGGGCGCTGGTGTCAGAAGCGAGCAAATCCTCATTGACTCCGATGTTAAAAATACCAATATCACAGCAGAAATAAACATGTTTACAGCCTGGTACCAAAACATGTTTTTTGTTTAAATGATCTAGTTTACACTCATGACAACTCTGAGGGGGGTGAATTTTTTTCTCACTCTTCTTTTTAAGTGTATTAAAAGCCTACAATTCTGTATAATTAATGAGCATCAGACCCACGTGACCACAGAGCTAGCTCCGTGGAAAGGCCTCAGCAGAGCCTCGGCCTCGTCTGAAAACTATTCCGTCATTTTCAGTCTCTCAACTTAGACCATTAGTTGTAGCGTTTGTGCGTTCTTTTTTGGATATTATTTGTGCAATTGTTGGACAAAATGACTTGCTGTGGCATTAATTGCACTAATAGAGCGTCCAAGGAGTCTCCACTTCATTTTTTTCGGTAAGTAAAATTATATTTATGTATTTTAGGTCACTGCCGAGCTGAGCTTAGATTTTAACATGTACTGTTTAACCATGAAACTTAAATGTAATAGGGTAAAACCCAGTGCATTTAACATAATGCTGCACTTTAGAAAACGGGTTGAAATATAACATGTTGGTGGAGCTGGGTTCCGACTATCGGCTTGTGGAGCTCTCAGGAGGCCTCTGTTTTCCACCCGGTTCTCCCCTACCCGCAGCTCGGCGCATCTCTGTCTGATCGCGGCTTCTGTCTGCTGCACAGGCTGCTGGTTGTGGAGCTCTGGGATGGAAACCTTTCCACCTGGTTCTCCCCAGCGGCAGCTCTGCGCATGTCAGATCGCAGCGGCGCTTGTCTGCTGCGCAGCTGCCGGCTTGTGAAGCTCTCTGGAGACCTCTGTGTTCCACCCGGTTTTGCCCAGCGGTCAGCCCGGCGTATCTCTGACTCAGAAGCTCTGGTGTTGTGGACAGTTAACTCTGGTTGTAGCTAGGTTGCTACCTCCATTAGCTTTGCTCCCACCTCCGCGTTAGCTTTGGGTTAGCTTCAGGTTAGCTTGTAGCTAGTTCGACCGGGTGTCGTCAGTTTATCCCAGCCTTACAGCCCCACCCTCAGCTCCACCTCTCTTCCATTTTGTGGAATTGTCTGAGCTTGATGGAACCTGTGACACGGTCAAAATGGCGGTGGTGGCCACCTCCCATTTTTCTTAAAAAATGTATTATTGGAGCCTATGGAAACCCATTGTCCAATATTTATATGTCGATGGGTTGCATTAACTAAACTTTACCACAGGGTGTTATTTTTACTTCATTTCTACCTAATGCACCTTTAAAGACCAAGTTCGCTCTTTATTTATTTTTTTAATTTGCAGTAATCTCTAGTATAAATGAAAGCCTTGAGTCAGTTTCTGTGGGGGAAACTCTGGTGCTTCTGTTTCAGGAAGTAGAAGTGAGCCAGAGCAGAGGGGAACAGAAGACTGCAGGATCTGGAGTCTTATTGGCTGATATCCGGACATCTCTCCTCTGATTGGCTAACAGCAATGCAACTCCACCACTGATCTCCACAAATAACACAAGTCTGAAGGAGTTCAGTGGTGTGGTAGAGTTGCTAATGCTAACAGTTGGCTTCTACTAGCCGAGACATGCTCTGCTCTCTCCTGGACACTAAACTAACAACAACCTTCCATGAGGAGCCAAGACGGGTGAGTTCATGAATGCTAATTTGACAATGTGACGTGCAATTTACTGGCTTTTCTAATCCAAGCGTTTCCTGTCAATTTTCTATCGGCATCTGATGCAGAATGTAGTGGTAGAAGACTATTGTGGTACCACTTTACGATAAGGGTCCATTTATTAACATAACTCAATGCATAATTAAGCATTAATAAACTATTAACTAATTCGCTGCCAGCCGTTTCCTGATTGGTAAAGCCCTTCGCTGCCAGCGTTTCTCACCGTTTTTACTGTTTTTTTAAGAGTCACAGAACATTGTGCGCTAGGATGATGTTGACGCCAAAACCAAAACAAAGAGTAGACTCGCCTCTTACATCAGAAAGAATCTGCGCGTTTCGAGCGTTATCTGTTCTTTCATAATCCGTTGTTGAATTGTGATTGGCAGAAGCTTTTCCAGTTCGTTCCTCACTTCCCACACTACAGCAGCGGCCCAAAACGATCTCCTAAACCATGGATTTTCTGCTTCCTGATCATGTGACGTGTGACGCATGTGGATGAAGATCGGCTTTAGACCTGAGATGTTTGTTCTCACGGTGCAGGGGCTCGTTCCGATGCCCACACAGTAAAAATATGCACGACGACTTTAGTCACTACTTCACTGCCGTTGATTTAGTCGTTAACGGCAGTGAATGAGTTAAATTATTAACAACTGCTTTACCATGTAATATCATGCATTACAAACCAGACACCCCCCCCCCCCCCCCCCCCCCGGCCTTTTGTCCTAACCTTAAGGTTAGCATAGTTAGCGATAATGGTGATGTTTATAAAGTGACCCTTTGTTTGTTAACGTTTAAGTCCCATAGTCATCATCACACACTGGTGAAATTCATCTCCACATTTGACCCATCCCC